TAGGGCATTCCATTTGCATAGCAGACATGCCACAAATACTTGTTGAATGTAGAATAAATGAATGCCTAACATTTACTGCATCTTCCTTACTAATCATGTGTCCATTTTCTCAGTTAATTTTAATGATAATTTATGCTCATTGAGAGGTAGGCACTATTGGGATGCCCATTTCTCAGATGTGGAGACCGAGGCACAGAGGGACAAGAAGCTGCCAGGTTTGGGGTGAGCTGGCTCTGACTGAGGTTTTCTGACTTCAGAGACCCTGAGTTTAATTACTGTGCGTAGTGCCTCCGTGCACACCCACTATGTGCCAGGCCTGTGTGTGGCATAGCCACCTTCAGACAAGTGGTAGAGCACTCTGGTGACCACCAGCCATTCCCTCCATCTCTTCACTTTGAGTGAGTGACGCTTCTTTTCTGCAGTTCTGTGACAGGGACAGGAAATGGAGGGAATTCAGAAAGGCTGGCTGCCAACAAGGGGTCCCTGTCAGTAGCTAGCTCAGTGGCTGTGTGACTGCACAGGGTCCCAAACCTCAGTTTCTTCATTTGTCAAAGGAAGAGACTGAGTTGGGGTCTCTGCCTTCCTTTTCAGCTCCAGCATTCCACTGTTCCTGTGACTCCCAAGGAGCCTGATAGGAGCAGAAGACAGAAGACCACTTGTTACTAGGCAACCAGCACCCACCTCACCCATGTAGCCATGGTGATGATGAAAGTTGGGCTGATCAAATTACCAGCTAATTGCTCATGAGATCTCAAGGTCTGTCTCTTTCTTGCTTGCTGGCTGGGTCTTACTTCCTTGTTGTCCTAGGATTATGGAGAGATCTCCCCCGCTTCCCCTCTGCAGTGTCCCCAAGGCAGTCCTTAGTGCAGCAGACGCCTGGAAATAGAACGCCTGGCTGGTTTCTGAGCAGCTGTGTGACATTGCATAGGCTATCAGCTTCTCTGTGCCTCCCTTTCCTTGTTTGGAAAAGGAAGGTGTTCCAATAATGACCCCTGCCCAGCTCTTCCTGCTCTCAAATCCTGTGATGCCTAGGAAGCCTGTCAGGGGAGCCAACCACACTGTTACTAGGCAACTAGCAGGCTCCCTGCCCAAGTTGCCTTGGTGACTGCATGCTGGAGGGAGGGGAGTAGCTGCTCAGCTAATTGCTTAATTATTTATGAGTGCCTCCTTTTTTGTTTTCGGTGCTAGGAGCTGCATGGTCACCTTCTCTTCCTCTCTCCTGCCACCCAAGTCTTCTGACTGCCTGTTCCTGGAAGCACATTGGCCTGGACCGCAAGCTGCCCTGCTTTAGCCTCCTCTGTCACTTCCGAGAGCGGTGGCCTCAGGTGAGTCACTTCACCCTCTGGGCCTCAGTTTCCTCATTTGTAAAATGATAGGTTTGCTTAGATAATCTTCAAATTCCTTTTCTTCCCTGAAATTCTAATTCCTGCTCTCCAGTTACAAAGGGGGAAGACTAGAGGAATTTTCCCAATTTGTTATCTTCTAAGGATGATTCCCAAGAGCAGTGTTTCAAACCGGAAGGGAATGGAAGTTATGCTCATTGCTCTCTCCTTGCTTCTTACCTTAGTGACATTACCTGACCTCTCATTAATCTAAAGGTCATTTTTCTATCTTCCATTTCTAAAATAGACTTGAGGGCTTGTATAAGATGCATGTGTGAAATTAAGTCATTGCAATGAAACTAGGAATAAAGTAACACAGAATTAGTGATGCTTCTTCATTGGTTAATATTCATGTGATTGATCATCCTGGGAGCCGAAGCAAGAGAGGGAAGTACATAAACATACTCAATAAAGAAGAATGGCCAGACTGTACTTCTAGCTTCAGAAAGTAACTTACCATGTGTATAGACTGTCTTTTAGCAACTACAGACAGACTGGTTTAATTAACAATTTCTTGCCGAGGGTGTTGTTAAAGAACATAAGGTAGAAGTTCAACTTGATAGTTTGACTTGTTTTGATCATTAGAAAGCAAAACTGCCTCTTTACCAATGCTTTAGAATTTTATAAACATTAATGTCAACTGGCAAATATAAATTTTCAGAATCAACTATTATTTATAAATTAATGGTATATAAATTCATGTAACCGCCTAGACCGGTTTGGCTCAGTGGATAGAGCGTCGGCCTGCGGACTGAAAGGTCCCAGGTTCGATTCCATTCAAGGGCATGTACCTTGGTTGCGGGCACATCCCCAGTAGGGGGTGTGCAAGAGGCAGCTGGTCGATGTTTCTCTCTCATCGATGTTTCTAACTCTCTATCCCTCTCTCTTCCTCTCTGTAAAAAATCAATAAAAACATATTTTAAAAATAAATAAATAAAAATAAATTCATGAAACCACTTACACAGGAATTTAGCAAAATGTACCACATGTTTAAACCTAGACAAAATTTATACTTTCCTAAGTTCTGAAATAAACTGATACAGATGAGGAAAGATCTCAAATACAAAATTGTTTATGGTGGCATTATTTATAAAAGACAATGACTCCAGACCACCGAAATCTTGAGGGTAGTGAGTTAAACTATATTACTTCTTTATAACTGATTGCTTTGTGGCCTTTAAAATGAAATAGACCTATATATTTTGATAGGGAAAAAAAAAATCTTCAAATATATGATGTAAGTAAGATAAGAACATGCAACAATGGTATAAAATTCTCCTATTTCTGTTCTGAAAGATTCAGATAGGTGTACAATTTATATCTAGAAATATGCTTTTATGTGCATACTTGCATTTTCCTGGAAGGGAACCGTGAGCGGGGTTTCCTCTGGGCAGGGGACAGATGGCCTGGGGAGAGGGAAGGCTGTTCACTGCCTGTTTTTGCCATGTGGACCCGCTAGGATTGGTCAGAGAGGCAGTAGCGCCCAATAGCAGAAAGCCTGCACTCCGCTTCTGAACACTGAGTTCGCATCCGGGCTCTGTCATTTACTAGCTGTGTGTGTGACTTTGGGGTTCATTTAACTTCTGCATTACTCTTCAATGAAATGGGCCGATAATAGTATCGTTCTCATTGGGGTTTTGTGAGGATTAAATGAGTTAAGTATGAAGTGCTCAGAACAGCCTAAACAATGCCATATATGTATTTTCTTGAAAAAAATAAAAGGAGAAAATTTTTTAAAATGCATCTAACCAAAAGCATCTCCAGTATCTCAAAGTTGGAGGACTTTATAAACATGTCCCTGCTTTCAGCATCACATGCTGGGTAGGAACTATGTTAGAGTGCTGGCATGTGCACTGGAGGTTGTGGGTTTGATTCCCAGTCAAGGGCACATGCATACCTGGGTTGCAGTTCAATCTCCGGGTGCATGCAGGAACCAACCAATTGATGTGTCTCTCACCTCTCTCTCTCTCCCTCTCCCCTCCCTTCTACTCTCTCTAAACACCAATTGAAAAAATATCCTTGGGTGAGGATTAACCAAAAAAAAAAAAATAGTTATGTTTGAAGCGGAATCAAAAAGCAGGAGGCTGGTTTTCATTGTCATTTTATCTGGACTTGAATACCTTTTTAGGGAAGGCACCTGTCGGGGTTTGCAATGGACATCTCCGCTGCCGGTGCTGGCCTGAACCCATCCAGATTTGCAGCTCCGGTGCTGGCCCACCCCTGGAGGCTCAAGTGAAGAGCAGACATAGGTTAGGCCAGGGAACATCTATGGGAACCGGAACCATCACAGACTGGAGAGGGACGGTCCGGAAGTTCAGGGTGAGAGGGCTGGTGCCTGTGCCAGTTATGACAGATGCTCACGCGCCCTCACCCCTCGCCTTTTCTTTTCGGAGAGACGCAGACCCAGAGAGGCGCTGTGCCAGGAGGGTCCCCCGAACCTCTGGCCACGGGGACTTCTTTACCCAGAGGTGCCGGGTGCAGAGGGCTTGGCGTTCACACTGCCCGGGTTCCTCCTCCTCCAGCAGGTGCTCTGGGGCCAGCCTGGAGCCCCAGGCTTTGGGAACTGCCTTTGAAGTTGGCCGGCCTGGGTGCCAGGCTTGCCCCCTCACCATAAGCCCGCACATGGTAGCAGCAGAGAGAGTGGGTTGGGGGTTCTAGGCCCTCCAATCAGCTGTAAGGCTGACCTGTTACAACCTCATACCTATGTCAGTGTCCCTGGCATTCCACAGTTTGGTTCCCATTGTATCTGTCTGGCAGTCACACCCAGCTGTGCTTCCCGCTGCCCTTTCATCCCTCCAACCCTACCCTAGTCATCTGTCAATGTCCCAACCACTCCTTCCCTCCACCATCCAGCCATTCCTCCCTTTCTCCACTCAGCTGTCAACTTCCTGTCTGGCTACGGAATTAGCTGCTTTATCAGGGGTCCCGTGCTCGATTCAGGTCCAGAGCACATGCCAGGTTTGTGGCTCTATCCCCAGTAGGGGGTGTGAAGGAGGCTGCCAATCAGTGATTCTCATCATTATGTTTCTATCACTCTGAAATCAGTAATAAAAAATATATATATAAAGAATTAGACGCTTGATCCGTATTGCTCCTCCACCCCCATTGCCTGCCAAGATGTCCCAGGCCGCTGCTCTCATCCAGGCGTGTGTCCACACTGACCCCATCTCGTCCAGGGCCGCTGGCTAGCTTTGGTTGGGGCCAGGCGGGGGCGGGGTTTGGCGTGGGGGTGGGCTGGGGGGCGGGGCTTGCGGAGGGGCGGAGCTTGGCGTGGGATCAGACGGGGCGGGATTGGGGGCGGGGTCTGGGGCTGTGGGCAGGCGAGGGCGGGGCCTGGCGGGGCGGGGCCTGGCGGGGGGCGGGCGGGCGGGGGCAGGGCGGGGCCTGGCGGGGCGGGGGGCAGGGCGGGGCCTGGCGGGCGGGGCCTGGCAGGACGGGGGCGGGGCCTGGGGGAGGGGGCGGGGCGGTGGGCAGGAGAGGGCGGGGCATGGCGGGGCCTGGTGGGCGGGGCCTGGCATGGCGGGGGCGGGGCCTGGGGGCGGGGGCGGGGCGGCCGGCAGGCGCGGTGACTCAGCCGCCCGCCCGGCGTCGGGGGCCGCGGCAGGCGGGACGCAGAAAATGGCGAGGCCCCGCGCCGCGCCCAACCCCGCGCCGCCCGGCCTGCAGCCGCTGTCGGCGCCGCGGCCCGAGCCGGGCGGGGTCCCGCTGCACTCGCCCTGGACCTTCTGGCTGGACAGGTGAGGCCTGGCCGCGCCGCGGCCTGCGCTGCGCTTTGTCTGGGCTCCGGGCCGGCCGGCGGCTCGCGGGCCCGGAAGCCGAGGTTGGGGCCGGGGCGAGCGGCTAGGAGCGCACGGACGTAGCGCTGCAACTTTCGGCCGCACCTTCCCTTCCTGTCCCCCTTCCTACCCGTCTGTCGCTCTTCCTGTCCCCCTTCCGATCCGCCTTCCCGTCCCCCTTCCCATCCCCTTAGAGGGCGGCCGCGGCGGGGGTGGAGGCCCGGTCACCCCGCGGGACTTGGGGCGCTCGGGGCGCGACCTTGGCCTTGACCGCGCCGGCGCCGGCGAGGGGCGGCCGCGGACCGCTCCCACTCTGGTCTGAGCGCCCGGGAGCCCGCACCGCCCGGCGCCGGGGTCGCTGCCGGTTGAGCGGGCCGTGGTGGCTCTCGGGGTTTCCTCGGAGCCCGCCCGGACGCCCGTGGTCAGCGCACCGGCCTGCGACCTTCGCGTGTGTGCCCCGGTGTGCCCTCCTATGCGCAGGCCCCAGCCCTGCCCCGCCGGTGAGGGCACAAAGCTGGCACTTGTTTTGGACACTGGCGATACCGCCACACCTGGCACGGTCGGTCCCTGGCGCCCAGCAGGAGCAGACGTGTTGACAGGAATAAACTGATGCATGCAAAGCCCCGTTAGCACCTCTCATTGCGGGCCGGCCTGCACCTGGCTGTCCGGAGCTGGTGAGCATTTTGATCATCGCCGTGGTTACATGCGGAGCTGTATGGGACAGCCCTCTGTGAATGTCCTTCCGCACGCCCTCTGGTCTTGTCTAAAGGGCCTTGTCTAAAGCGAACTTCATCTTTTAAGGAGGACAGACTCATTCTTCTCCCTGGGACTTAGCACCGCCTGCAAGAGCGCCAGCTCGGGCCCTGTCTTCTCCGCACTCAGGAGAAGTGGGGGGAGGGGAGGTACAAGTCTCTCCTTTTCCCCAAATATTTTCACTTTCACTATGGAATGCTAAGAGCATGTTGCTGTCATAAGGAGAGGTTTTAGCCAGCTATCAGAATGAGACATGTGTGTCTTTGTTTTGAAGGGTGCGCTGTGCCCACTTGCTAACAGGTATCTGTTTCCAAGGAGTCAAACCCCGACCCAGGTCTGAATTGTGAATGCTGTTGACTGCGGGGACACTGTCAGGAGAGTTTCTTTTAAACAGGTCACAGTCCCTCTGCTTACAAGAGTAACATTTTTAAGAATGGTCTAAGATATTAATACTGCGTAACATACAACTTTTAAAGAATATTTTGTATCTTTAAAATATTCATTTCAGAGAGGGAGAGGGAAAGAGAGAAAAACACCAATGATGAGAATCATTGATCGGCTGCCTCCTCCACGCTCCACACTGGGGATTGAGCCTGCAAGCCGGGCATGTGCCCTGACCTGGAATCAAACCCTGACCTCCTGGTTCATAGGTCGATGCTCAACCACTGAGCCACCTGGATAAGGCTATTTTGTATCTTTTTAAAATAATAAGATGGTAACTTCCATGAAGACAAGCTATAGCTTTCCTATTATGTACTTGCACATTTTTGCTCTCTGAAAGCCAGGAGTCCGGTGTAATGTACTGTTATTGTCACGGTGTGGAAATCTTTAATGGAAGTGGCTCTGTACGTTTAGAAATTATAATTCATTCCAACGCTGCACACATGAATTCCTTTTCCTAGCTGCTCTCCTTGCCTCTGCCCTTGCCCCTGCCGCCCGTTCCCTCACAGCAGCCACCGTGGCCCCTTATACCTCAGCTCAAGCTCGCTGCCTCCTGCTCTGTTTCACTCAGAGCAGAAGCCACAGAGCTCACAGCAGCCCATGGGATTCTGCAGCATTTCCTGCCCCCCCCCTTGTCCCTCCGTCTCCCTGTCACTCTCCCTCCAGCCTCCCCTGCGGGCTCACTGCCCCCTTCTTCCTCTGTGATCCCAAGCCGGTCCTCCGCCCCGGTCCCTGCCCGAGATGCCTGCGCTGGCTTTCTTTTTCTGGTTGCTCAGATGTCACCTCGGGGCAGCCATGCCTGATACACAATGGCACGCCCCTCCGGGCACACACTGCCCCTCTTTGCTCTGGGATTAGCCCCCCTGCCTGTCTTCTCTCCTTAAAATAAGCTTCACAGCCTCTCTCCCAGCTCTGTCTGCACCTCCCCAGTGGCTTTCCCTTCCTGCCAGTCCTCTGCTTTATCGTTTGCAAATCTGCATCTCCAGCCCTCGCCTCCCCCTGCGTCAGAAAACACGCTGCCTGCCGTGTGCTGTGTAACCATACCACCATCCTCTTGGTGTGGCAAAGGTGAAGTTTCCATTTGCCCTGGAACCCGCTCAGAATCCTGTCCTCTGGCACGGCTGAGGTTTGACTGTCCCTCGCCACCGGAGGGCGCTCTGCGGTGGGCTTGCGTGTCCTAGCAGTGGTTTCTGGATCCCCCACCCCCTATACCAGAGCAGCTCTGGTTGGCTTTGTGGTTGGTTGGTTGTTTTAGGATCTGGCCACTTTAATCTGAAAAACAAACAAACAAACAAAAAACAAACTGCATTCCCCAGCTTTAAAAAAGTGGAAACTGTAGACATATATTAAGGCACAGACTTCTCTGTGGCTGCGTTTACTGTGCAGCCCACTTCCTTTTTAGCTTCCTTTAGCCTCATTGCCTGCCTCTCCCCAGCCCCACAGTCCACTCATCCTGTTGGTTTTTGCTGGTGAAGGCGGCCTGCGGGCCCTCGGGCGAGTCTGGACTGAGCCCCTGAGATTGGGCCAGGTGCTGTGCCTGCGTGGGCGCTCTCTCCCCTTCGTCTCCTTGAGAAGCTGCTGCACCCGCAGGCCTCGCTGATGCTGAGGCGGACACTGCCCCCCCGGCGGGCCGGCAGGGTGAGCCACCACTGTGTTCACAGCAGGGCTCCCAGGCTGTGCTGCTCTGAGGTCACCGGTCCCTCTTCCTGGTGCTGAGACTCTAACTGCCTCTGTGTGACTCCCGGGAGCGCACATTCCAGGCACACAGTAGGCTCTTAGTGAGTGCTTTAATCACAGAGGTGCACTGTCGCAGGCGCTCCCACCAGCCCCACCCCATCGGGTTAGTTCCCCTCAGCCATTACTTCTTCACGGTCAGTCTCTTCCCTGACCTCCCAGTCACCCCGTTACGGCTGTGCGTGTTCCCTCAGGGTCCTCCCCAGCCCCACTCAGTGAGACTCTGCGGTGGGTGCATTTGTAACAAAGGCCTTAGACATCAGAAGTTGAGAATTGCTGCTCTGTTTATTGGTAAGGTTAATTGGCATATGAATTCCAATAGTCACTGTTCTAGGTGCTGAGCAGGCAGAGAGGACAGCGCTGGCCTGGGCCGCCCAGGAGAGGTGGCTCGCATGCTGGTGCTTCCACAGAGCGGAGCGGTGATGAGCCCATCGAGGTGCCGAGTTGTAGAGGGACCCGCCTTTCAGGGTGTGTGCTCCGTGTGATAAACCTGGCCCGTGGAGGCGGGCGCAGCCTGGCAGAGAGGATCCCCAGGCAAGCACAGCTGACAGGCAGAGGGGCTGGCATCTCAGCTATTCCTGTCCTTTCCGCCCATTCTCGCCTTTCTAAAACTTTTCAGGCCCAGGATTTAATTTTGTGTGAGGGACAGCAGGGCTCTGGCCCTGATGAGAGTCACGGCCTGTCCAGCCGTGGGTCAATGGCTGCCTGTGGTCTCTAAACATCCTCTCCCAGAAGAGTTACTAGTTCTTACCAGTGCTATCTGTTCAAAAATACTTACTCTTTTTAATATGAGAGACGCCATTTTCTTATTTTCAAACTAAGACAGCACCTGAGTGAGCGATTACACAGCGGCCTCCGCCGGCCCCAGGCACTGCAGGAGGAAGTGGGTCTCAAGATCAAAAGAGCCCAGTTGCTCCTGTGAAGGAGCTTGTAGGCTGGGAATGACAGTAGCAGGGAAAAATGAAAAATGCAGAAATAAAGCACTCAGATTGTGTAGATCGTTTCAATGGATGCATTATTCAATGATAATAATCTGCCCTGAGTCATTTTTGTATGCGACTCAGGCGGCAAGCTGCTGTAACCACAGCCGCAGATCTGTCTACACGTGATGGAAGCGAAATCTGTCCGAAAGTGATTTAAAGGAACGAGTGCATCCCTGAGTTTTCCCTCTGACAGCTGAGCCTGATGTTAACAAATTCCACAGGAACACTCACTTTCAGGACACATACCCCTGGCTGTATAGTTCCCCTCCATGTTCTCTTCACGGAAATGAGATGATCTCTCAGATTTGGTGGAGGGTTGTCAATATCCAGCATTTTTTTTTCTTTTTTCTTTATATATATATATATATATATATATATATATATATATATATATATATATATATATTTACAGAGAGGAAGGGAGAGAGATAGCTAGAAACATTGATGAGAGAGAAACATCAATCAGCTGCCTCCTGCACACCCCTACTGGGATTGTGCCCACAACCAAGGTACATGCCCTTGACCAGAATCGAACCTGGGACCCTGCAGTCCACAGACCAGACCCTCTATCCACTGAGCCGAACTGGTTTCAGCAATATGCAGCATTTTCTGTGTGTTCACTGGACATGTGTCTCCATTGGTTGGACATATGGAACCACGGGTAAAGGTCAGGCCTCTTTCCCCTCCCCAGCTAACAGGGCCCACACTCCGGTGTGCGATGGGAACCGCACGGGCCGTGGTCTGCACCTTCATCTTCCTGCTCCGCCCGCAGTGGCTTTGGTTGGTCAGTAATTTTCTCACGTCCAGCCCCAGAAAACGACCTGAGCGGCACGCTTGTAGCCCGTGTCGGGTGCATTATTGCCAGGGACTGGTGGCATCTCCCCTGCCCTGCACCTCCGCTGCTGCCCACTGGGCCTAGACAGGTGGTGGGAGAGGAGAGGGCAACAAGAGCAGGGGCGGGCCCTGGGAGGGCACATACTGAAGGTGGGGCAAGAGGTGGTGGCCGCTGTCTGAATGCGACACCCAGCCGCCGGCCGCTCGGTTCCCACGGGGAGCGGCCTCTTCACACCGGCGCCAGAGGAAGGGCCGGCCCTGCCGAGACAGGCTCGGGAGCCTGCGTCTCCTGGTCTGCGGTGTGAGGAGGATAGCGCCCACGCGGCAGCATTGCTGTAAGGGTCTGAAATAATGTATGTAAAGCCTTCCACATAGCATGCGCTCAACAGAAAGAAGCCTTTATTACAGTAATATCACTGAGTCAGAGAACACCCCTGGAGAAACAGTTCCATCTCCTCACTGCTCCTCCGGGCAGTCAGTCCAGGGCGGAGTCCCAGGCGGCCACCTCGGAGAAACCTCTGCTGGTCGGCCCCGTGGGACGCGTCCGTGGCTGTGGCCCAGCATTGCTCTCGCAGAGGCCGGAACTCAGAGAGGAGGGAGGCACATGGGCCCCTGGCAGTGATGTCGGAATCAGCTGTGGCTCACGGAGCAATGCCTTTCGCGCACAGCCAAGCCAGCCATTACACCATCAGAAGCGCCACAGCTCCGTCCTCTTACTTCGATGCCTGGGTGTTCGTAAAACTGTGCAGCTGGAAGGAGCCTTCCACCAGAATCCAGAAATGAAGAAAATCAGTTTCCGGAGAACCTGACACCTTTCCTTTCACAGCGCTGGGTCCGCATCCGGAGGCGCTCATCAGAACGGAGCTGTGGGCAGCAGGAGCCTGCTGGTCAGTGGCCTCCCTGGCTCCAGCGGGCAGATGGTGCTGAGGAAGTTATACGGACACAGCCTAGCATTAAAACCTAGATTCATCCCCAACCAGTTTGACTCTGTGGCTAGAGCGTCGGCCTGCGGACTGAAGGGTCCCGGGTTCAATTCCGGTCAAGGGCATGTACCTTGGTTGCAGGCACATCCCCAGTAAGGAGTGTGCAGGAAGCAGCTGATCGATGTTTCTGACTCTATTCCTCTCCCTTCCTCTCTATAAAAAATCAATAAAATATATGTTTTTTAAAAATGGGATTCAGCCCTAGCAGGTTTGGCGCAGTGGATAGAGCGCCAGCCTGCGGACTGAAGGGTCCCGATTTAGATTCTAATCAAGGGCACATGCCCAGGTTGTGGGCTCGATCTCCAGTAGGGAGTGTGCGGGAGGCAGCTGATCTATGATTCTCTCTCATCATTGTCTCCCTCTCTCTTCCTCTCTGAAATCAATAGAAATGTATTTTTTTTTAAATGGGATTCAGCAAAGTTTGTGGCCTGAATGAGAACACACCTAGGGCCGGTAAATGCACTAAAATGTCAGTAGGGCTTGACTGGCCAGTCCGCGTGGAGCAGGCAGTCTGAGGGTCACCTGCATTCTGACCGGGTTCTGGCCTCGGGCTCGTCACCAGCCTTCTGGACGCTGGCCTGCTCGCTGTGCCACAGGAGAACCACCGTGGCAGCTGGCACAGGCGCGGGACTCAGCACCACGCAGCCCGGCTCACCCCGTCTCGCTCAGACTGAAACTAGATTTCTTCTAAAAACATCTTCAGAAATGGAACCTGAGGGGACCTGAGTGACCGTGTGCGGCCCCTGCTGAGAGTGAGTGGAAGTCTGGATGGTCAGAGGGCGGGCCTCGCCGTGTTTGCTTCTGTCACGTAATGCTATGAGGTGAACGTTCGGATTATTCTCATTCTAGGCCGTGGTGGCACTTTAACAGTTTGAGCATGCAGTTTTAAATAGGAAGTCCATTCACTTCCTTAGGACTCCACCCTCCTGCCCCCGCAGGGGAGCATGCATGTGTGTGTGTGTGTGGGGGGGGAGGGGGTCTGTACTGCCATGTTCACTTGGGAGGCCAGCTAAACTTTTCAAAGGGAAAAAGTACCAGTAGGTTTTCATATAAAAGCAATACATTTTCCATGTGCATATCTCTTCAGGAAAAAGTCAAGGTTTTTTTTAAAAAGCCCCTCCCGCCGATGTTTTCATAATCTCAGCCATCCACAGTGTAGAGGCTGCATTTAACACAGATCAACATGTGCCCGAGGCAGCCCTCCCCGCCAGCCGGGCGGTCTGGGGACAGGGTGACGGGGCTCGGGCACTGAGCCCGCCGCCCCCACGCCCCGCAGCACACTCAGGAGGCTGAGGTGGCAGCAACGGCCACGTGCGGTTACTGTGGGTCTGCTTTTTCACAGACCAGTGTCTGGCTTTATAAAAGGAGGAGTGAGGTGAGCACCAGTGCTTTAGGAGGGTTATTTATCAGACGTTACCCGTCAGCAGAGACCCTGGTTTGCCCTCAGACTGATCTCTAACTGCTTGCTTGGTGGCCTCCAGCCCAGGGCGCTGGTTTCCAAAATGTGTTTGTGGCATTCAGGGATCATTCATTGGCCCATGGTCCCGGCAGGTCCCCTGGAGGCCCTGACGCCTCCTGCCCCACAGAACCAGACCCGGGGCCTGGCCTCTCGGCCCTCCCTCATCTGAGCCGAGTCTTGTGCACATCCCGGTGGCCGTGCCTGCGAGGCCCCGGGTCTGCCTCTGAGGTCGGTAAAGCGCTCCTTTCATTGATGCCCGGGGGTCAGCCGCGAGCCAGCGTGCGCCCTCAGCGCGCCTGTCTGCGCGTGAACAGACATGGCGCTGGGAAGCAGCATTCTGAGTGTGAACTCTCACCCTAGGCCTGATGTAGCCGGCACATCATTTTCGAGCAAGAACTGCCAATTCATACGGGGAGAGAGAAAACGTGTCCGTCACAGTTTTCCAAGGGGTGATGGCGTCATGGCAGGCTGTCTGCCCGGCAGCTGCCTGGCTTTCCCGCTGGATGAGCCGGAGTGTGGTGCCCTCTAGTGGAGCGCAGGCAAGTGGAAGGCGAATTTATTCTGACCACAAGCAGAGCTCATCCAGTCAGCCAGGGGCCAGTGCTGTGGACACTGCAAGCCCCAGCGTCACCACGCCGACCTTAGGCATCATGTCCTCCAGCCCCATCTGCACGGAGCCGGCCAGGACCCTGCATTGCCGTGGTCACCTGGGCGTAGGCAATTTCTTGTCCAAAGCCCTCGGCAATAGGCTTGGTCATTACAAGGTTATTTTAGGGTTTTTAAAATGTGATTTTGAGGTTCCCAGGACCTTTCTAAGATATGTTTTAATTTTTTTTTCTACTGAATTCCCACAGAATGAGTAAGTTTATTTTTAGGAAAAGCAAACCCATGACTTCAGAATGCAGGAATTTCATGTCTTAAATTGTAAGTAGGCCCAGGAATGTCAGGCGGGAGGCCTAGTCCCAGCTTGCCTGATGCCCGCAGGTTCCTGTGGATGCCATGCACTGACTGCTCGCTGCTGTCTCTGCCTTCTGCTTGTTTGCTCAGATCTCTCCCTGGGGCCACGGCCGCCGAGTGCGCATCCAACCTGAAGAAAATCTACACGGTACAGACAGTACAGGTGAGTCCGAGCAGAGCACCCCCAGGCGGTGTGTGCTGGACACTGAGTCTCGCACCCTGACCGCCCTGGGCACTGTGGGTCTGTCCCCGGCTCTGGCTCTCGCTTATGCCATGCTGGCCCCGTGGTTCTGTCCCCGGCTCTCGCTTATGCCATGCTGGCCCCGTGGTTCTGTCCCCGGCTCTCGCTTATGCCATGCTGACCCCGTGGTTCTGTCCCCGGCTCTCGCTTATGCCATGCTGGTACCCCCTAGTTCTGCCTGGGCTCCCACCCAGGCCGTGCTGGCCCCGTGGTTCTGTCCCCGGCTCTCACCCAGGCCGTGCTGGCCCCGTGGTTCTGTCCCCGGCTCTCACCCAGGCCGTGCTGGCATCCTGTGATTCTGTCCTGGACTTGGTCAATCTTGAGCTCCCTGTGTGGGCTCTGCTTTCCCATCTGGAGGTGCTGGCGCCCCCACGGGCCACCGGGAGGAGCTGGTGGTGTAGAGTGTGGGCATGAGGATCTAAGACTAGTTTCCTCCTTCACGATCAAACTCCACGTCCTCAGTTGGACCATCTCCACCCTGTTAATTTCTGTAGATTTGGCATCCTATGCACCTCCTCCAGATTGAAAGGAGGGTGAAGAGCAGGGCCCTGGTACAGCAAAGGTTCAGTTTTTTTTCCAGAACATTCCAGGAGGAGGTTTGCCAGTTTCCCTGGGATGAATGATTGTCTGTTGGGCAGAAGACTGTCCAGGGACAGAGTTGCCATCAGAACTGTGAGCTGGGGATTCGGCAGGCGGTCCTCTTGTCTGGACCCTGTGCCATCACATCAGGCTCACCTCACACTCCTCACCTCCCACCTGGCCCCCGAGTCAGCCAGTGAAGTCGCCGTCCTGGCCCTGGAACACAGGGAGGAAGCGGGGTTCCTGCGTGGCCTGTGAGGGTTGTCCTGGCAATTAGTTCTGCTTTAATTTTTTCACAAGACAATCTCAGCACCCACTAAGGGTTATCATTCAGCACAGAGGACGACCCCCACCTCGGCCGCCACTGCCACTTCCTCCGCCTTGGGGCTCCTTGTCCTGTGGCTGCGCTGCTCCGTCAGACCCACCAGGGGCACGTCCCCTCTGCTCAGCCTTCCACGCCGGAGGGTGTTCCTACAGTCCTCACAGAGGCGTTCTGCGCCCCTTCCAGACGAGCTGGGAAAGGCCGGCTCCTCGTAAACTAATTCTCATCAAACCCCAGTGACCACACTGAATGGTGATGCTCGAGCAGGTTGGTCTCGGCCTCCATTTTCTTTCCTCTGAAACTCAGCCTCCTGTGAGACGGCCATTGGGACAGACACACATGCACATTTCAGAGTCCAGGCCTGCACGGTCATATGGCTAGTACTGCTGTTCCTATCACTTCATTATCCTATATGATAAAAACCCAATATGCAAATTGACTAAATAGTGGAATGACTGGTTGCTAGATGCACACTAACCACCTGGGGGCAGACACCCAATTCAGGATCTGCCCCAGGCCCCAGACCAGTCACACCACAGATTGACCCTGATCACCAGCCAGGCCTAGGGACCTTATTGTTGCATGAATTTTGTGTACGGGGGGGGAAGGGAAGGGGGAGGAGGAGAGGTTCTCTCAGCCCAGCCTGCACCCTCTCCAGTCTGGGACCCCTTGAGGGATGTCCAACAGGATCGGGCCTAAACGGGCAGTCGGACATCCCTCTCACAATCCAGGATTGCTGGTTCCCAACTGCTTACCTGCATGCCTGCCTGATTGCCCCTAACCACTTCTGCCTGCCAGCCTGATCACCCCCTAACCACTCCCCTGCCAGCCTACTCAAAGCCTAACTGCTTCCTGGCTGGCCCAATTACCCCTAACTGCCCTCCCCTGCTGACCTGGGCATCCCTAACTGACCTCCCCTGACAACCTGGTCACCCCTAACTGCCCTCCCTGCTTTCCTGATACCTACAACTGCCCTCCCCTGCAGGCCTAGTCTCTCCCCAACTGCCCTCCCCTGCAGGCCTGGTTCCCCCCAACTGCCCTCCTCTGCTGGCCTGGTCACCCCTAACTGCCCACAACTGCCCTTCCCTGCAGGCTATCTTGTGTCCACATGGGGGCAGCCATCTTGTATTTTGGAGTGATGGTTAATTTGCATATTACTCTTTTATTAGATTAGGATTTCTATCTACCAGCCACTGTCTTCATTAGTTCTGGCTGCTCCACAGAATTCCATAGACAGCTGGTTCAACACCCAGGACACAGGTGAGCGTGGCTGGCTGCTGCGAGGGCCCTGCCTGGTTTTCAGACAGCCATGTCCTCGCTGTGTCTCTAGGGTGGGAGCGAGAGGGCAGCTTCCTGCCTTCTCCTGGAGCTGCTAGCCCGTCCGTCCTGATCACCTGCCAAGGGCGCTGCCCCCGCAGCCCTGTGACTGAGGAGGCCCCGGAGAGGCGGCAGGTGCCTGCCCTCCTCTTCTCCCTCCGCCTCTAGTCCCGGAGCAGCCTCCTGGGCATGCAGAGAAGTCGGTTATATTGCAGCACGGGCCAGGGTCCACGCGGCCCCAGGGCTTCATGGGACGCCACCTACCGTCAGAGGGCATTGCAAGGCCCGTCCCAGTGTCGTGAGGAGGAAACGCAGAGGGGTGTTTGCCTGGGGACCGCTGCAGCAAGGCATGGAACGTGGCCCACTGCAGCCAGGATGCTGTTTAATGTCATGTTAACATTTTCTAGCAGGAAGTTAGAAAAACACTGAGAAAAATCCATTTTGAATGGATAGGACTTAATGAGGATCTGATTTTTTTCCCTTAATTCATTAATTTTACAATATTGTAGCATAATAAAAATCAATACTGGGTATATTAAACGAAGTGTTTTTCTTTTGAAGATATTCTGGAGTGTGTACAATAACATCCCTCCTGTGGCCAGCCTGCCTCTGAGATGTAGTTACCATTTAATGAGAGGAGAGAGGCGGCCGCTTTGGTGAGTGTCCAGGGTTAAGCCGAGCTGAGGGGGAGGGAATGACTGCACCCCTCATTAAGTGTGTGGTACTGCATTGGAGTGCAAAGCACTTTTCTCAGGTGCTGATGTCATTTTTGCTGTTACTTAATCGTGAACTAAGCCCCTCCCACCGCCCTGCTCTCAGGGCTCAGATGGCGGGAGGGTTTCTCGGCTCTTCCCGGAGGCCGTTCAATCTCACCGAGAGCCGTGGCGCAGCCCTTGGCGGTGTGCCCCACCTAGGGGTTCAGTCAGAACCGCGCAGTTGGGGGGACTGAGGGACAGATGGGGGATGCACCCTGTTGTGTGGAACAAGATCGGGCCCCAGCCCGCGGAACGCCGTGGGACTGCCGGGATGGGTGTGGGGCGCCCCCTGATCGCTCAGTGCAGTGATGGGGACAAGGCCGGGTGCCTGGGCTGGAGTCCCAGTGAGCACGTCCTCACAGCCTGTGCCTCAGCTGTTCAGAGTTACTTGCTCATTAATAAAAGGGGAGTGCATGCCATCTCCTTCAGTAGCAAATGACAGGAATGCAATCGGAGCCAAACAATGGCGTTTGGGCCCGTGGCTGAGCATCAGGCGGCTGAGCTGGCAGGCGGTGCTCTGTGCTGCGCAGATCGGCGCTCGCTCTGTCGGACCTGCCTGCTCGCCTCGTGTTGCTTCAGTTCTCAGGCTCTCCCATCAGGGGTGGCAAATGGCTCACAGGACCTCCCGTCTGGCATCCTACGAGGTTATTCCTGTCAGCTTCGCCACCAGGAAGCTAGAAGGGCTGCTCCCATTGGCTCACGGGGATCACAAGCCCCGGGAAGAGGCCTGGCACAGCCGTCCTGCAGCGGAGTGGGCCTGGCACAGAGTGGGGACACGTGGCTCCTTACGGGAAGTCTGGGTGCTCTTACCAGTGATGAAGCAGACACAGGAATCCCAGCCATTCCCCCCAGGGGCGGGGCCCTGTGGACTTGGTCTGGTGCTGCAGGTAGAGGCCCTTCCCTGGTGGATCACCGCTAATTTGTCCACCTGCTAGTCCAGGATGAGCCCTGTGGTCACTGAATTTCCTCCCTCTTCATCCCACCCCATTCTTTGTATTTCATCTACCGTGTTTCCCCGAAAATAAGACATCCTCCAAAAATAAGACCTAGTGCATGGAAAGAGAAGACATCCCCTGAAAATAAGACCTAGCGCAACTTTGGGAGAAAAAATTAATATAAGACACTGTCTTATTTTCAGGGAAACAGGGTACGTCTGGGGGAGAATTTATTGAAGAATACTGGTTGTTTTTTGTTTTTAATGTCATCTATCGTTAAAGTAAATGTATGTACAGCCACTACTGCCTGAGTGTAACTATAGATGTTGGTCTTCGGTCCAGGGAAGAGGAGAGCAATGCCAAGGGCGGCGTGTGGAAGATGAAAGTGCCCAAGGACAGCACGGTAGGTGTCTGCCTCTCCTAGAGCTGGCTGAGCCGGGCTGACTGCAGCTGATAACGTTTTGTGCCTCCAACGCCTGCCTGGTCGCCTCAGAACAGGCCTGGGGGCGAGAAGCTGTTCTGACCTGGGTGGGTTTGCCTCACACCACACGCTGCCTTGCGATACACCTTGCACTTCTCTGTGGAGATGGTGTGATCGCTTTACTGTGTCACGCGGTCTGAAGAGCTAATGCATACAGCTTTCACAGAAAGCTTACCGTCTCTCCGCCCCAGCGTAACCAGCATGTGGATGTTGGTTTTACAACGTGAGAAGCAGGGTCCTTCCCACCGAAGGCTCGTGGAGACAGGCAGGGGTTCTGAGGACGACCGTGGCATGGCGAGCGGCTTTCCTGGAGGCTGATGGGCTGTTTGAGGGAGGCCTGGTGGGATGCTGGTTTGCTGTGGCCAAGCCTCAGAAACCTCCATTTCCCCTGGAGGGGCGGGGGCTCTGATGTATCATGCTGTCTGAAAATGAATGTTCGAACCTGTTCTGAAGCCCTGGGAAACCAAAGGGCTTCTTTGAAAATAGGTGATAGGGCAAATGCTACCCCTTCTCACTGGTTAGTGGTTTCTTTCCTGTGGATAAGCTCAGAGAATCGCAGTGTCTCCAGGACCCGTGGGCTTAAGCCGAAGTCATTTTGCTCTAAGCACGGCCCTAACGATGCAGCAGGCTTGTTTGTGGCGGACGCGAGCTCGTCGTCACGACGTACAGCTCGCACCTTGCCTGCGGGGTGGCCTCCGTAATGCAGCGTGCCAGGAGGCAGATGCCCCGCCAGCAGGGAAGGCCTGGGCCTTCACTCCGGCCCCTTAAAAAGGAGAGGAAGTAGGTAGTGTGAGAGGAGAGAATGTAGGTTTTTCAGTTTCAGTAATAACACCTTTTCCTTTTCATGTTTTCTGACACGAGTCTTTGAGTTCCAGTAGGAACACTCTGACGCCAGCGCTCCGGGAGGGACAGAGGCCTGTCTGTCCCCGTCAGTGCGCCGGCCACACTCGGTCCCAACGGGTGCGCTGCGTCTGCGAGCATCGGCGCCCGTGCGGCTCCGTGCCCGCCCACCGCCAACGAGCGGGCGGCTGGTGGGCCAGCCTGTGCGCCCCCGAAGCAGGCGGGACTCTCGCTGCCCTCAGCTGCATCACCAGCGTGTGCGGGACTTCCTGGGACAGGCACAGTAGAGGGTGGTTTCTAGATGGGAGACAAGTGTCCAGAAAAGAGAAGGAAGGAGAGCCTTCTAGACGGGGAGGTCGCGGTGGCCAGCTGGCCTCGGGGGTAAAAGCCAGTTAGCATGGCACCGTAAGCCCTGGGGTGCGGTTCATGTGGACACCCCCCCGCGTGCAGCAAGCAGACAGCGGGCCGTGAACTGGGGAGCCTCGGAAGGCATCTGTGACTCATTCGGGGTGCAGGCAGCCTGAGTGGCCCTCCCATTGTTGACCTCGTGGCCTTTGGAAACACACTCAGAGCAACTGGTGGGGGCCAGCCAGGCTCAGGCATGAGGCCGCCGCCAGGACTCCCCGGGTTGTGGAGAGCTCAGAGCCTGTGGCCAGGCAAGGGGACAGAGGGCCCAGGAACTTTTCCAGGGGCGGGAGTGGAAGACCTTTACCTCGGAGCCTGTATGGCTCTGAGTAGAAAGAACTGCATTGTTTCTCGCTGTAGGAGGGCGAGCAGACCGCCTGGTGTTCTGGGGAAACGCGCAGACTCTCAGGAACGGGCGTCTGCACGCTTCTAGTGCCCGGTAACCAGAAACCCGCAGCGCACTCTCCTGGCTGGCCTTCCCAGTGCCTTAGCAGCCGCAGGGAAAGCAGAAGAAGGTGTGAAGAGAAGGATTTCACTAGCAGCATCCACGTGTAACTAGAAAGGCAGATAAACCAGAAAGTTATGCCCTTTGAATGCATCCCCCATTGTTTTAATTTCATCAGGGGTGTCAGTAGAAATTAGCTCTGGAATGTAGGACACCAAGGTTTTGGGACATGAAGTTAGTGACTCTGTCACTGCACCTGTCCGCACAGTGACCTGGGGAGCAGCACAGCACACGCCTTTTACACCTGTGGCTCCGAGTGTCTGTGGGCGCTAGACACGGCGTGGCCAGTACACAGGTTGTGGAAAATGGGACTTTCTTAGCTCCTGGGTATAATTGTCTAAAAATATATGTATGTTGTATTTTGGTTTTGTTTTTTGTTTTCTATTCTTTTTCACACCAGTCCACGGTTTGGAAAGAGTTGTTGTTAGCGACTATCGGGGAACAGTTCGCAGGCTGTGCCGCAGCAGGTAAAGAGCGCGGGCGGGCGCTTGCCTTGTCCTGGTCCTCGCAGAAGTTCGTGTGTGTCTGACTTTCTACGTGTTTTGAAGTTGTTTATTTTGTAACTGTGAATTTACTTGGACTTTTTTCATGTGATTGTGGCATTTAGTGTTTTGTGTGTATGGACACATGCATATTTACATGTGTGTCTACTATATGTACGTCTGTGTATATGCATGTGTATGTGTCCTCATAACTCATCTTAACAGTGTCTGTGGTCCTCTGTGCACAGGCAGGAAGGGAAGGTAGTGGGTCTCAGGGGGGCTCTTGGGTGGTGTTAGGTGGACACAGTTCTGTCCCTCCAGGCCCTGCCCCTCCTCCGATCCCGGAGTCCCTGCTCACAGGGTGTGACAGGGATGGGCAACATTATTGGCTGTGACACCCCCCTCCCCGCCCCAATTGATGCTAAAATATCCCCCCCCCCCGCCCCAGTTGATGCTAAAATATAAGGTCTTCACAACTTGATGTTGGAGACCACTTTCAAAAACCGGGTGAGTTTCTGAGAGCCCCCGAGAGAGAATTTTTATTTTATGAATAAAACCACTCAAAGAGCTGCTCGTTCCAAGTTGTTCCTGTTGGGCAGCTCCTCTGGAGGATCCTAAGCTAACATTTAGGATCCATTTTCCTGTTCAGCTTCCAGTTACGATTTTTTTAAAACAAATTGGTGTTGACTAATTTGCCATCAGCTGTGTGTTTTGTTCTGCTATTGTTTTGCTTTCTCGTCACACCATTTTTTTATTAAGATAAAACCTGGGTTAGATGAAATCATCTTAAAAATAAGATTCCTTTTATTTTAACAGTGAGTGGTTAGCAACTTCACAATATTGCAGGCAAAATGCATCCGAGGTATAATGATAAATACAGACATCCAGGGAGAGGAAGTTTTCCGCATGGATTATTCGCTTCCAGAACCAGGGAGAGTTAGCTAGTAATAGTGAGCAGGATAAGTAAAGGAGGCCTGCTGTCCTGTGGCTGACGCAGGAGAGGAGAGCACCTTTACTGATGAACCATTAGCCTCCCAGGAACCGGACTCCACTGCCTGCAGCCAGTCAGCTCATCTGGCTGCACGTGCCCCTCGAGCCACAGTCCCTGGCCATGATGACCCAAACTAACCAGGCTCTGCGGCCGACTCCGCTCCTGGCTGTTCCATGCTTGCTATGGGTCTGCCGAGGCACCGGAGCTGTGCCTGCAGCCAGCACCGGCCAGACTGACACTGCCCGCCGTCCCTCAGTCTCTGGCCAGAGGTGCAGAATGGGCATTGGCAGGGCCGGGGTGCTGAGGGCCGAGCAGCAACCACGTGGGCATTTCTGAAAGGGGTAGACGGCTCGCCTCTTCCCTCAGTGGCTTTATGTTCACACAGAACTTAATGCAGGTGAGCTCCAGCAAATGTATGCTGAAGGTGTGAACAAAACAAAGGTTCTGGTGGAATAAGAAGTCCCCGTTGAATGGCTGTGATCGGGGCTATTTAAGTTTGGGGAAATTTTTGGTAAATGTGACATACACAGGAAGGAGTACAGCTGTACCCTGCAGAGCTTGGTGACTGTTCGCCAGGAGACAGACCCCTGCACCGAGAGCCCCTGCTCACCCTCCCTCCCAACTGGCCACCATCCCCTGCAACACCACCATTTGTGGAAATGAACCATTTAGTGCCAAATCATAGCTGTTTAGCTGACCAAATTCACTTAAAAAGGAAATAAAGGAGAGAGGGACCAAGGAAGAGAAGGAAGGAGGAAAGAAAGGAAATGTTTCCCTGAATAAGTCACTTAGATTTACAGCAAATTAGGCAAAGCATGTTTATTAAAGCAACATTTTCTACTTTTGGTGCTTACCTTTGTCCTTTGACTTGTTGGAGCTGAGTGTGCAGCTGCCGAGAGCTGCCCTGGTTCGTTAATGAGCCAGGAGCACGTAAAACCAGTCAGGTCAGCTGCAGGTTAGCCTACACAGCGTGGCTACAGGGAGCATGTGAGAGGAGAGAAAGCTTACTTCCCCCGCTGCCATTCCCACATACCCACACGGTCCCTCCATCCACAATGGAGGGGCTTTTCAAAGACCTCCTCTAGTTAATGTGGGCGAATGCTCGGCCACCCGCTGAGCACTGCACAGCGTAGCCTCACTCCGGAAGCGTGTTCTCTGGCTTCATGCGCGGCGCGAACAGACTGATGGATGGTCATTGGGTCTCTAGCCCACCGCCTCCAGGTCCACACACACCCTGGAGAATGAAGAGAATTCACAGGAAGGGAGACAGTCCACAAAGAGCAGGAAGAGCAAATACACAGTCTGGTCCAGTTGGTGTTGGGGCGAAGAGTTCTAACCACCCCAGGAGAGCTGGACGCTCGGCAGGAAGTTAGGAGAAATACTTCTGTTTCAGCAAAGACGGCAGAGCAGGGAGGGAAAGTGCATTTGAGTTCACTTGGCTTTCAGAGGGCCGAGTTACGCAACTCATTTTAGAAAAGATCTCATCAAAACAGTAAGAAATAGTCAGAAAGCTTTGGTAACCGGTCAGAAAGGATGGATGGCTTATCTGGAAAATGTGGCTAGAATACTTCCACCGTTTATCTAAGTCCTTGGTTAAATGTGATGTGATTGTTACAGCTTTCGCCCAATAACTTGCTTTTTGTCCAACAATTCTCTTTAGAAACAAGTATTTACCATGGGTGCTCTTGTGCCACCTTATTTTACCGTTTATTTATAGCTTACAGATAGAATAGTAAGAGCTTGGCAAACAGCCAGCAGACGGTCACTGTCGCTCACGTCTTCCTTCCTGTCTCCCCCAGATGACGAAGTCATAGGCGTCAGCGTCAGCGTCCGGGACCGCGACGACGTGGTCCAAGTCTGGAACGTCAATGCCTCCCTGGTGGGCGAAGCGACCGTTTTAGAGAAGATCCATCAGCTCCTGCCCCACATGTCTTTTAGAGCGGTGTTTTATAAACGTGAGTGCCTCGCTCCCTTACTACTTTCCATCATTCTGCAGAAAATGTTATAGAAGCTATGCTGCAAGTGAGGTGAAGGCAGAGTCACTTGAAGTTCTATAATCCAGAAAATGTTTATGGAAACATTTAAGTGTTTTTTTTAAAGTTTAGTCTCAGAAATTAGAATGAGATTTAATTCTTGCTTACTAGTAAATGTGTGGATCAGAAAAGAGGATACTCATGTATCATTTCAAAACTTCAAACCTGATTTGAGTTTGTCATTCTCAGAAAAAAGTCACCGTCTGTGTTCACAGCAGTAACCGGAAGTGCTGCTGTGCGAGCTGGCGGGGGCTCGGCCCTCCCTCAGCAGCGCCCCGTGTGGCCTCTGTGTCCGGGGATGGGCTGTTCTGCGGAGACGCCCACGCTGCCTTGGCTGTGACGGGGACACGTTAAAGCGTGACTAGGCGTGTGGACCCATTGTTTCCATCAGTGGTCATGTTCATTGCTTTGTGTGCTCTTTTGAAAAAGTCACTTTTGTCCAAATGCAAACCTGTGCTTGGAGCTCTAGCCGCAGGCCGCAGGCACCAGTGAGATGCTGGGCGAAGCCGGCCGCCCTGCTGTGGCTGCATTTCCTGTGTCCCAAACCGTCCGAGGGTCAGCAGCCCACTTTCCTAACTCCGTGTCCGCTGACGGTGCCCAGGTGCCCAGCAGTCTTAGTGTTACTCAGAGAGTACGGCTCCCAGTGAGACCACACACTTGATTCCGGGCGCCCCAGGGTGGCGAGGCACATCTCAGAATTGCTGAAATCTGCTTCACTTTTCTCAGCCCCCTTGCCAAAAGGAGGGAAAACACCAACTGTTGTTCCCTCACAGTCACACATCAGGCGGAGTGAGGCCCGCAGCCGCCGCAGGCATTCAGGGCAGTTCCCGGAGACCGCGCTGCGGCCGAGCGCTCGCTGCTGCCGTGCAGGGTTCGCCCTCGGAACATTAGAGCACCTTCCGTCCACATGTTAGTTAAAAGGTCACTGCGCGTAAGCCACAGCAGGAACTCTGGAAGGAAGCCTTGCACGGCCATTGGTGACGGGCCACACCCTTCCCGCCCTCGAACCCACACCACTGTCACGCCAGAGGACTCCTGTCAGGCCCTCGGACTTGCTTCAGCAAGTCACCTCCTCAGCCTCGCTCCCATTTAAGTAGCCAGGAGGTTGGTCTTAAATGATCTCCAAGGTCCCTTCTACTTCAAAATTATGTGACTACATTTCCAGGGAACGTGTTAGCAGCAGGGCCAGCCTGAGAGGAGGGTTTCCTTAGATCATTTGGCCACAGAGTGATGAGGCCGTTTGTTAGGGCAGTGCGGCCAGCAGGTGAGTCTGAACAAGACTGAGCCCCTGCTTAGCTGTGTGATGGGCAGGCGCCCGGGGAGCCTGGCAGAGGGAGAGCTGGCCATAGCTGGGCCGGCTGAGTCCGCTGGACAGGCCCCTGAAGACGGAGCCATCGGCAAGTCCTTGGGCGCTGCAGCCCGGCTCCTGTCTCAGTGGAGTCCAGGTTATCATGGTGTAAGTTAACATCTAAAAATCTAAGATTATGCAAAGAAAATTTTGAATTGGAAAAAAAGAAGTAATTCTCTTTATTTTATAAAAAGCAGGCAGTCCTTTACTCAGTAGAGTTCTGTGTGCTACAGACTTGCTTTGGAAAACTGAGGTTTTGCAGGAACTCACAGCTGGATGGGAGCAGCTGTGGAGTGCGCTGGTGGAAATGGCCACCTGCCTGCCGCTGCCACGCTCCTGGCCTGGTGCGAGAATTCCTTCCAGGCGCAGAGCCGGCACACGGTACCCTCCCCCCCAGGGTGGATAAGAAATGGGCTGTTGATAAGTTTATATGTGATTTGGATAAAAATTGGTTATTTGACCGAGAAACTGCTAATATATAGAGAGCCCTCTCCCCAAATTCTGTTAGGTTAACAGAGCAGCTGAATGGCAAGATGTCTTTTCTGATGTGAATATTGTTTAGAGCAGAGGTTGGCAAACTATGGACTTCAAGCCAAATCTGGCCCCTAGTCGCCTGTTTTTGGGCTACAACTAAAAATGGCTTTCACGTTTTCAAATGGTTGGAAAAAAAAACAAACAAGAAAAAGACCTACAGTGTATGAAAACTGTGTGAAATGTACACGTCAGTGTCATGTATGTAGAAGGCATATTGGCACCCAGCAATCCCCATGTGTGTACATGTCATCCATGTCTGCTGCATGGCACAGTGGCAGAGTTAGCAATTGGCCCAGAGACCCTATGCCCGCAAAGCCTAGAGTCTTTATTCTGCGCCCCTTCCAGAAAAGCTGTGCCGAGCCCTGGGACCGAGCGGTCTGCAGCCCCTCCCCAGGCGCAGCGGGCAGCCTCCCTCTGCCGCGGGCACTCCAGCCCGTCTCCGTCTGCAGGCTCCATGCCATCCATGCCGCACCCGGGTTCCCTCACTCTCGGAGGCCAGGAAGCTTAGGATAGTTTGGATCTCTGGATATTTTTATTTTATCTTTTTATTTTTCCTCACCTGAGGATATTTTTCCATTGATTTTTAGAGAAAGTGGAAGGAACAGGGAGAGACAGAGAAACATCGATGTGAAAGAGACATATTGCCTCCCACATGTGCCCAAGCAGGACCAGGAGTCAAGGCTGCAAGTGAGGTACATGCCCTTGATCAGAATCGAACCTGAGACCCTTCAGCCCAAGGGCTGATGCTCGATCCCCTGAGCCATGCGGCTGGGCTCGGGCCTCTGGATCTCCACCCCTGGCGCCCAGAGCTGCCGCAGGCGTGGCTCCCATGTGACCAGCGGCGCTGCCTGTTGCATTGCAGAGCAGACCAGTTCACTCGTGTCTGCCCTGAAATCTTCCTTAAAAAGAAAAACACATGAGCTAAATGCTTGTCGTTCTCCTTGCGGGAACTGCCAATTAAGCCCGCCTGCGTGCCAGGCCCCTTAGAGCACAGGCCTGCTTCTCCCGTGTTTTGTCCCGAGAGCAGGCGGGAGAGCAGGCGGCGGAGCAGGCCGGTAGGTCTGCAGGAGATGGAGTGGCTGTTGAAACCAGGACTGGATTCTGGGAGGAGCCTCGGAGGCGCCGCCATGCCTTCCTGGCCCCCTCCTCTGGGGGGCGCGGGCAGGGCCGGGCAGAGCAGGGGTCTGCACTTGGCAGCAGACTTTCCATCTCCCATTTCCCACTTCCACTTTTTAAAGTTTTAAGTCTTTGAAAAAGAGTTTTGATAATTTTTTTAGTCTGGAGTTTTTTAAAATGTCATTCGTAATTTTGAAAGCCAGACAGTAGAGCTGGGAGGGGAAAATAAAAACCCATCAATTTTATGGGCTTTCACTTCCCACAGAGGGCGTTCAGAGTGGAGATGTAATCGCTATCCCCGGATTGCTCTTTGTTTGTTTTGTTTTTGTTCTGTTTTATTTCTAAAGGCAGCTCGTGTGCCAGGGGCCCACCGGGTAACAGAGGCCCTCCCTGAGCATGCGTGCTGTGGGGCATTTCCCTGCGGCGTCTGCGGGAGCCCAGCACGTCCTCCCATCAGCTGTGGGTGACTCACCCTCCGGCACAGCGGAAGGCACAGGCAGCGTGCCCACTGCGTGCTCACTCCTTATCTTAATGTTCATTATTGCATCTCAGGAAGTGCACGCCTTCGCCAGCAGTACTGGCACAGAGAGGTAGCTGAGTTCTTGCCAACATTTGGGGAAACAGTGAGGTAGATGCCTTAGAGCAGGGTTGCCCCATCCTTTGCTTAAAGTTTTCTTTCCTTTTTTTCTTTTTTTTTTTTCTGCCCTTTAGCCCATGAAGAGCATCATGCTTTTGAAGGTGGACGTGGAAAGCACTAATTGCACTCTGTAAAGAATGCTTTGTCCTTTGCTGATTGGTTTTGGAAACGGTCTTAACAGGAGAGAGAGTGAAGAGAAGATTGCCGAAGTCTGATGCTGCTCACTTAGTGAGCTTCGGGCCCGCAGATGGGCAACTAGGACTCCAAGTGGCAGGTGGGGTGGGGAGACCGGGTTTCGACCATCACATTGCTGGGTTTTGTTTTTTGCTTTTTGCTTTTTTGCTTTCTGTGTTATTTTCACTCCAATTCTTTTGCCCTTTTGAATTCCGCTTTTGGTCTAATGACTGTTTTGTGCACTCTCCTTTCGTGGAGGCTCGGGAAACCAGTTCCCCCTTAAGGGGCGGGCTGTGCCTGGTCATAGGACATGTGTTCTCATGCCAGGACTGCTTCAGACGCCGTGCTGTCCTCACAGGAAGCTGCTGGGGAGACCTGCCCTCGGTACTCCAGGTGGGACACACCCTGCGGGCCATGCACTGGCCTGGTTCTTCTGTGTTTGGGAGAAGCACAACCACACTTACCAGATGCTGCACTGTCAGCACGCACATCTTTTATCTTTCCTTTTTAAACTCTTTCTATGGCTCTGGAAGGAAGATGATAGCTGGCTTCACTCACATGAAAACTGCAGTGACCCTTGAGCATCAGGGTACAACTCAAACCGAGTTTGGACTCAGACATCTTTCTCACTGAGGGCCCGTCGGCCTTTCCGCAGGAAGGTGGTCAGTGCCAGGCTCCCTCTGGTCTCAGAGGAGAGAACCACCTAGCTGCCACGAAGCTCTCCCCCATGTTGGGCCTGTGCACACTCAGGCTCCCCATCGATCGACACGTTTTGTGAAATGACCCTTTTCCTGCTCAGATTGCATCATTTCTGATAATCAGTAGTCCCCCAAATTGGGCAACTTTGCCTGTTGTTCATTTCAGGGCAGGAAGCTAAATCTCATTTCCAAAATAAATGTGAACATTCATAGAGTTGAACTTGGAGTGCATATTTGTTCATATTAATTTTTGGAATTGTTCATCTATATTGTACTATGTCACCAAAGAAATGCTGGTTTTACTGGAAGGAAACGCCACGCTGTGGAACGCTGAGCCCTGCTCAGCCTTGACTGCCGGCTCTGCTTTGGCTGAGGGGTCGCTTGAAGCTGCTTGTCCTCCTGGTTGCCTTGGCACCAGGTTGCTCGCACACGCTCACACATCACACAGAAGCTCATTGGACCCACGGCTTTTACTCTCCAGCAGAGCCGGGGCCTGCAGGCCTGGCCAGTGTTTGTAAGTAAAGGTCTCCAGACATGTGCGTGGACTTCCTGCAGCTCTGCTTAGGGAAGCTGTTCCCTTTGTTGGCATCACTGACCACGACAGCCATAATCATGATGTTCATCATTTTTAAAAATGCTTTGTTTTTAAACTTGAGTTTCTTCAGTGATTTTGTGAGGTATAAGGATATCAGACCCATTTTTCAAAAGCCTGAAACTTGTTGCTTTAAATATTATACTAACGTCCAACTTGTTTTCATTATTCATCAAGAATTAAAAAATTATTCTGGACATGAATTAAGATTCTTTTTATAATATAAGTATTTTTCTGATAGATTAGAAAAGATATTGACTTATCTTCATTATAATTGTCATATACATTTCCATAAGTAAATGGATTTTGAAGTTTTTTTATTTTTGAACTTTATTTAAAAGCATTGTGATGTGTTCAACCTTTGCATGTATATAGCTTTTAAAGTAATGAAATAAAATAAAATAAAAATAGGAATGTTAGGCTCACTTGACTGTTTTCTAGTTTATGTTGTTTGTGATCGTGAAGCCCGGGGAACACACACACAGGGCTGTGCAGCCGCAGTGGAGTCTGCGGCAATGCCAGCTGTGACTTACCCTCTAAGTCACTTTAAGAGGGTTTTGTCAGAGTTTGCTTTTGAAAATGTTTAACTGAATATTTAGTTAATAGGAGATGCTGTAGGAGCTGAGCCAATGTAAGCAGTTAAAAGCCTCTCATTGCCTTCTTGGACCCAGAAGCCAGTCCTCTTCTGAGGCAGGAAAGTCTGTGGAGCACGTGGCTTTCTGCTGGGCAGCGCCCCATGCGGCCCGCGCCGGGAGTGGCCTGTCCATCGGGTCTGGGTTGTTCAGCCAGAGCTTGCAGGTGCACACGGGCCAGAGGGCCCTTCTCGCCCGGCGCCGGGCCCAGGATGCAGAGCGGGCCTCGGAGCCGCGTTCCTCATCCCGGAGGCCCCGCTGGAGCAGGCTTGCCTGTGGCACCAGGGAATGCACCTGGGACACGGGAGCACACTTCTCCCCAGAGGAGGCTCCACTCTCCGCCCGCTCCCAGCCCTCCACAGGCGGCTCACACCTGCTTCCCGCACCCGACGCTCTCCCCAGTTCTGATGTGAAGGGGGAGTTTACAGTGAACACGTATGTTTACTATAATGTGGCTGTTAAGTGCATGGCACAGTTGATGGAGAAACAAATGAAAAGCAAAACAAATCTAATAAACTGACTCTAACCTTCTCACCTGGCTTCTTGAATTTTGCTCATGTGCCCAGCCACCGCCTTTAGAGCTGGAGGAAGTTTTGAGCAAACTGGGCCATAGATGCAGTGCACAGTCCCCCCACCACCTGCACTTTGGCAGAGGACACAGGCCAACAGGTGACAGTGGGCTTGGGAGGCTGCAGCCCTGCCCAGGCCAGGTTCCTTAGCCCAAGAGCCACACCAGCCTGACCCCCACCCCCTTGCACGCCTGCAGGCAGCACCAAGTCTACCATCTGGCCACGGATGAGCCTTCCTGGCCAGAAACGGTGCCGCCCACCCAGTGCCCGAGGCTTGTCCCTGCGCCCTGCCTGCAGGGCCCTCTGAGGGGGCCTGACCGGAGGGAGGGGCGGGCTGCGCTGGGAGAGCCTGTCCTGGACCAGCCAGGCCTTGCAGAGCCGTCACACGGTGGCGCTGCCCTCCCACCCGCCCTCCCGCCCCCTGGCTGGGCGCATAGTTTATTCAGCTGTTTGTGCCATTATTGTGAGAGGCCTGCATTTTGCTCTTGTGATTTTATAAAATGTGGTCCTACCAGCAGAGGTTTAGCTCTCCTGCACCTAATAAACCGTCAGATAGAATCCTCCAGATGTGCTTAAAACTCACAGCTCTCAGGCACTCGTTGAGCTTGTAAGCAGTTCTAAAGGGAAAGAATGAAATAAAGGAACATGTAGGAAATATTTTCTCAATATTGTGCCCGAAGGGAGAAGTAAAACTGCAGTTAGATTTTTTAGCTTTGTGAATATGGAGCTCCCCTTTTAAAATGTGTCTACTGTTTGACTTTTCCTGTATTGTTTCCGTAAGATTTCACTTAGTGTAAAGGGAAGTAGAGGACTGCCTGTAGTAGTTTATCTCTTAAAACATCAGATCAATTCAGATCAATTAAAAATCACTTCCGAGTTTGGTGACTCAGGAGTGTGAAGCCCGGAAGTCCTCTGAGCAGCTGAGAGGGGGGCGGGACGAGGGGCAGCCGGAGCCTCTGGAAGCCAGACGGGTCCCTGACCTCTGCCTGCGCCTCCCAGTCCGAGGGCTCCCCTGTCCTGGGAGTCTGGGAGCACTTCTCATTCAGGCGGAAGTCACCTGCGCTGCTGCACAGTCCGAGGGACCAGACTCAGGATTTTGGAGCGGAAGGGACCTTGGAGATCATTGTGCTCCCGGCCTGGCGGGGCAATCACAGGCGCTCTGAGGGCGCCAACCCCGGCCCAGGGCGCGAAGCCCCGGCGCTGCCATTCAGCCGCTGCCCTCTCTGGTGCTGAGGAGACGTGCTCTGACCTCACTGATGCCATCTGCCCCCCGGGAGAAAGGCTGCCCGCACCCAGTGACCCTGGCATGTCGCACAGGCGCTGGGAGCCTGCAGAGCCTTGGGGAGCGGCTGGTGCTGCGGGCGGCCTGCGCAGAGCGGCCTCCGCTGTCCCAACAGCCTCCCTGCACAGAGGCCTGCTCTCCTCGGCCCCGGCCCGACTGCCACAGGCTCAGGCCCAGGCCCAGGCCTCTGCTTGCCCACAGCGGCGGCCGCAGTGCCGGGGAGGCTGCAGAGCTGTGAAACCACGCAGGCGCCCAGCCCTGTCCACACGAGGCCAGTCACTCCCAGAGTAGCTTAGCAGAACTCTTACTGAACTGCAAGGGTACAAAGCAAAGGCTCCCTGCACGTGGGAATGTGAGCAGTCACTGTGAGCCAACACTCCTGTCCCTCATTGCTGCTGATGCAAGCTGTGTGTGTGTGTGTGTGTGTGTGTGTGTGTGTGTGTGTGTGTGTGACGTCCCCCTCGAATATCCAGTAAAACTGCCTTTGGATATTCTGTGTCCTCATGTCCTTCAGAAGCCACGAGGCTGAGGAGTCTGTTGAGTGTTTTTGTTTTGGTTGCTGCCCGAAAACAGTGACCAACTCATTTAATGAAACACGAGATTTCATTATGGAAAGTCCAACTTCTAATGTTCAAGGAAGGGAATTTTTTTGACTGCTGTATTTGGAACAAGTGTTTATTTGGGAATTGTTAAACTGGCAACTTTGCATTATAGAAATAAGCATGAAGTAAATGATTGCTTCTGTGTTTTCTATAGAAAATTAATGCTACCTCATCTTTTTACATACAAAAAGCAACTTTTATTAAGGTTTAAGAAGGTGAAATTTTAATTTTAGCATTTTACATTGTGATAAATGGAGAATATTAAGGGACTTGATCATTTTAATGAACTTACAAGGTTTCTGTTTTCAAATACAGCTGTTAATTCTGTAAGCCTCGATTAAATTCCTTCCAAATGTCGCAGACTTAATCAGGTAGTTTGGCTTATAATCACTGCATGGGTTATAAAAAGGTATGACTGTCTTCTTTGCTTGTATCCTTGCTGAGATTGTAGTTTCATTTAAGTGATTACACCAAAGGAATTTGGAGCTTAAGCTTGTGAGCACACTTTAGTTTGCACCATTTGTCCCAAATGTAAAATCTTAGGAGTTGTATTCAAGCTTCCAAACTGTCTT